CGATTCGGGGCGTCGTTCGTGGCATCTCCCAAGTTCCGCGCCGCGCCGCGCGCTGTCTCTCTTTCTCTCTTGCGGGGCAATCGTACGGGATAAAAATTCTCCGCGAGCTCGGTCCAACGGGAGAGTTCAGGGTGCCAGCGATGAGCATCGCCGTATAAAGTATATATTTCTCTTGTTTCGAGAGATATCTAAGGAGTTTGTCCTCGCGACGAATCGAAAGGAGCGCGCGATGGACGAATCCTCTCTCTCTCTCTCTCTCTCTCTCTCTCTGTCTCTCTCTCTCTCCCCCTTCGAAAGTTCGACACTGCGAATTTTATGGCAAACTTTTTGCTCGCTTCGCAAAACAAGGCGAGCGCACTCGCGGTAGTATCGACGAGCTCGTGGCATCGGCCTTCTCTTCGGCGCGCAGATCAAGCGCGGAGAATTTCCTAAGCTCGGTGTAACGCAGAGATTGTAACATCTTTGGCGTTTTCATCATGTACGCTTTGGGCTTAATAATATATGTATTGGCTTAATAATATATGTACTGAATCTACGTATTATATATTTATTGAAATTATATGTTGTATTAATCAAAGAATCATGATTCAAATTTGATTGTTGCAATATTCCCTGCATTTAACATTTGTTCCCAATTCCAATAAACAATGTATGAATTATGTAATGTATTCAATCGCAGGTAGAATGTAATATGTACGACGAGCAAATGATTAATATGGGTAAATAAACTAACCTAACAAACTTTATGTTTTCGTAATCTCTTTTCTATTATTTTTTGATCAGGCGCCGGGTATTTCGATAGAATTTCCGACCGAAAAGGACATTCGAGACAACACTCGCGCATGATTTCTTGATAAAACACTTCTTTATGCTTCAATAAAATAGCGAGAATTAAAGTAGCCATTTATAGCTTGAAAGAACGATAGCCTCGCACCTGGAGACTCTCCATTGATCCTTCGCGAACGCTCGATGAAATTTGCAGGCTTAATGTAGAATCAATATTTCGACCGAGGGACTCGCTCGTCTGTGAATAAAAATATACTCGCCGGTAAAAACCGCACCACATCGCTAATAGACGTAACAAGTTTCTCTCTTGCTTCATCTCGTTACTTCCGTTTGAGCCGCGATGCGCGATAATAAAGCAATAAATACAAGCGGTGATACGGTAGCGATTACTAATTACTCATCCTCTCGTCTCGTTGAGACAAGCGCCAAGTACCGTCGAGTAATAACAATATTAATGCGCGTCTTTCACAGAGCAGGCAGAGCTGGCGAGAAGACCTGGAAAAAAATAAAAAGAAAAAAAATAAAAAAAAATAAAAAAGTTTTTCCTGCGTATTATCGTGGTCTCTCTCTCTCTCTCTCTCTCTCCCTTTCTTCTCTCTGTCTTTCTCTCTTTCACGGAATGTGCTTCCGCGCGCGCACAGGCATCAGGGTGCAGGTGGTGCTAGACGAGGAAACAGCTGTCCAACCCCCCCCCCTGCGTCCACCCTTCGTTCCCTTCGGCGGTTAGCGCGCTCAACTTCTGTCGCCTCGGATCTCTTTTGTTTTCGACCGCTCGCCGGCGTGCTTTTCGTCTGCCGCGCGAGCGACACCTTAGTAGCACACATCGATATCTTCACTCGGGCTCGATACTTGCGAGGCAAGGATTCACGCGCGCGCGCGCACGCCTAAATTCATCCTGCTTCGTCGGCAACGATTATGGATACATACACCGCGCGTGCAATTATCGCGACTCCTCCTTCCGCGGCCGCGTGTGATCGCGTTGTCGCCGTGAGCGCGGCAAAAGCCAGCCAGCCGGCCGGCTTTTGCCGGCGGCAAGAGGGAACGAGACGAGATACACCCACAAGCGCGAGTCACCGCTCCGCGCGCGCGGGTGAAAGAGGAACGAGGGAAGAAACGAAAAAGCCCGTGCGCGTTGTGCCGGCGGCGGCGGCATTCTAAATTTAGGAGGAAGTATTGATTTTACAATTTGGACCCCTCCCAAAGTAAAAAATAAACCAAGCCGAACGTACTCTACTTTGATAGAGTGCCTCTCCTCTGCGCGGCTCGTTTCGACGCACAGGTCGGAGAGAGAAAGAGGGAGACGCGAGGAGCGAAACAGAGGAACAGTCGACGGCGGCGGCGGCGGCGGCGGAGGAGGAGGAGGAGGAGGAGGAGGAGGAGGAAGAGGGCGAGGAGGAGAAAGAGCGGGTGGTGGAGGAGGGAGACGGCGAGGGGAAGAAAGAGGGTGCGAGAGCTGGCGGGTGCGGCAGGGGAAGGGGGTAATAAAGAGGAAGGGAGGCCGTGCTCGGCCGGAGCGGGCGGAGAGAAAAGAGAGTGGCGAAATGCCGTAGTTCCACCCCGGTAAGAAACAAAGAACAGAAAATTGATCGTTTGTTAAGTTTTATGTTCCTACGAGGCAGGCGGCGAAGCTCGCTCGCTCGCTCGCTCGCTCGCTCGTCCATCCGTCCGTCCGTCTCCTCTCTCGGCCTTCCTCCGCCACCTTCTCTACCTTCTCCTTTCGTTTCCCCTGCCGCGCCACGCTCCTTGTCTCCTTCGTATACCGCCGCCGTATCCCTCTCTCTCCTTCCCTCTTTCGCGCGACGTACAATAAGACGAATCGAGGAAATTCTGCGAGGCGCGCTATGGGAAAAGAAGCAGGAGGGCATGCAGAAAAACGCGAACAGGGACTGAAGAGACAGAAAGAGAGAGAGAGAGAGAGAGAGAGAAAAAGAGACGGAGAGCAAAGAATGAAGGGGGCCAGGAGCAGGCAGGGGAAAGGGGATGGAAAGGTAGGGGAGAAAGAGCGGCGAACGAGAGACACGTGTACGCGAAAAAAGAGCAAGAGTCTCGTCCGTGAAAACCGGACGGGATTGCATTCGTCGTCGTCGTTGTCGTCGTCGTCGTCGTCGTCGTCGTCTGCTACAGATCGCCCGGGTTTTTTGGCTGGGAATAGAATTCAATTATCAGGAGTCGGTCGTCTCCATCGAGCGGGTCGGACGGGAGGAAGAAGGGTGGCAGATGGGCGGGTGGTGGTGATGGTGATGGTGGTAGTGGTGGCGGTGGCGGTGGCGGTGGTGGTGGTGGTGGCAGCGACAGCAGCGGCGGCAGTGGTTGTGGCGGTTGGTGCCGCCCTTATTACGACTGACTCCTCAGATTTCCGGTCGCGTTTCACGCGATATGCACGCGTGTACGTAGCGCGAGAGAATACGCGTGTCACGCGTCATCACACGCATCAGCCACCTTCGATGAGCTCGCGCGCGCGCGCGCACATTTATCAAGCATCTTCCGTGTGCGACTATATAATTAGAGGGCGGCGAGATAACGGTCGCGAGATGACGCGCGAACACAATGCGGTGTCGTTTCGCGCGGATATTTCTTTGAACAATTGAAGCGGTTGAGCATCAACCGGTGCGCAGCGCAGCGCGACCGACTCTCGCCGAGGCCCTGAGACGATCGCACGATTGCGCAAGCGATTCTAATGGGACGCGCTTCACATGTCTGCGATTCGCGTGTAAAACTCAAAAGCACGTTCCGTAGGCAGCGAAAAGGGCAGTTTCGGCGGGGGGGGGGAGGGGGGGGGGAGGTCGCGGCAGTACGTATCGCAAAATGTGCTCCGGGTTAATCGAGATAGGAGAAAAGTAGGTTGTACACCGAAAAGCGATTATTTCAGATGACTTGTCGTTCACCGGTCGCCATGGTCGCCGCCAAGTCGTTTGAAACTTTGATTACGCCTTCTTTTCCCCTCTTCCTCGGAAAACCAAACCTTCCCCTCTCCCTCTCTCATCTGCACCCACACCCGTCAAAGAATACGGAGATGAAAAGAACCGTGCTGGGACATCGAAGGCACCGCGCACGACACCCCCCGCGCGTACATCAAAGGTACTCCGGGGAGGAACGGTTACGCAGCCGTAATTTGTTAGCTCCGAGGAGGAGCTCGCGAGGAGGGGAATAGCGCGCCGGGGAAAATGCCACTTTCCGAAATTGCGGCGGCTCTTTTCAAACGCGGTCTAATATGCGCGGAGTACGGCGCGCGTATATTTGATATCTCGCCGAAGCCGGCCACGGCCGTTCCGGAAACAGTTTCGGCAATTTGGAGAAGTGGTGCTTCACACGAAGGGCGAAGAGCGCGGGACGACGGCCCGTACATGCATCGACGGACGGAAACGTCATTTTGCGGCTCGCTCGCGGAATCCGGAGACGGAGTGACGACGACGACGACGACGAGCGATTTTCAGTCGTTGCCTGCGCGTGGTGTTGCAATTAGCCTCTTCTGTGTCGCCGAAAACCGAGTTAGACGTTTCGTCACGATAAGCGGGGCTGTGACAAGCGCGCGCGACTTGGTCGCGACGGCGAAGTTCTGATTAGCGGCGGAAAGCTCGTTTGGGCGAGCGCACGCAAGTACCCTTCCCCCTCCCCCTCCCCTTCCTCCCGTAGTCTCTGCCGCCGCTTCGGGGCTAAATCGACTCGATTATTTTAATTGAAAATTGACAAGATAACTCCGGCGATGTAGCCGCGCGCGCGCTCGTTTCGCTTGTATTCGAGATGAAATATCGAGGAAAATGGCAATTTTATTATATATTTCCCGTAAATCGAATTGTGAAATTCCACTTATCGAGTTTCAGTCATAAATCCAATTTCACGTTACAGCGAAATTCCGGAAATCGAGTTTCCGCGTATCCTGAATCACTCGCGACTAATTTCGCCGATTGCGCGCGCCGGGGCTTCTTACATCGACGACTTTCCAGCGAAACGCGCGCGGTTCCGTGCTAGCCGCTGCCGCCGGCCTCGCAGATGCCGTGCGTGCGAGAGCGTTACGTCACGCGGGATTGCTAACCGCGCTTCTCCGCTGATGCATCTATTTTGATTTATAGCGTAATCGAGCGAGCGAATTCGAGTCAGCCGCCGCGCGCGCGCGCGCGCGCTCACTCGAATTGGCGCGCAGAGCGCGAGCGCGAGCGCGCGCGGCGTCGCGCGTTTGGCGACAGCTTTGCTCCAGCTCTTGCTCGCTTACTCACCTTGTGCGCTCGCAGCGTCTTGCCCTCGCAGGCGAGCGTGACGTCGCAATAGGCCTGCCGCTCGAGCAGCTGCGAGAACATAGTCTGCAGGTTGCTGTGATGGTACTTCCATCTCAGGCAGTACTGCTGCGGGAACATGTTGGATGATGATGATGATGAGCTCGTCGTCGCGGTTGGTGTCGTTGCTGCTGCTGTACAGCTTCGTTGTTGAAGCATGCGCGGGGCGTCCGGCACCGCGGCGAACTCCTCCACCGAGCCGGCCACCGTAGCCCGCTTCCGGTTCACCGTACTCTCGTCGCCCGCCTCCGCCGCCTCCTCCTCCGTCCCGCCAACGTCTGCAACACACCGTGTCAAGGGCTCGTGAAGGGAGCTGCGCGATTTGCGGCGCTGCGACCACGAGATCTTCCTCGAGGAGCTCGCGATTCACGATCATCGCAGACTTCAAATCGCTAAATGGATTCTTAATCTTCATCGCGAATAATTTTAGAGCGCGCGCGATCTCGCATCGCAAATGCGACTTTGAATCGCGCGCGATTCTCAACACCGCGCCCCCGGCGGACTGGATTCTTCATCGCGTACGTGATTTTAAATTGCACGCGGCTCTCCGCGCGCGATGGCAGGCGCGATTTCCAAGTGACGTGAATCGCGTGAGATTCCGCGATGAAAGTCCAATTGCACGCCGCGTTTGCGGACCGAAGAGAGGAAAATCGCGCATCGCGCGCATCTCTTCGCACCCGGCTTCGCGCCCGGTCTCGCGCGAAGTTCCAAGGGAAGAGGGGGGGGGGCGGGGTTTCTCGGTCCTTCGGTGAATTTTCTGCCGCGCCGGGCGTCAAGGAGCCGTATCGATGGATGCTCGGGTCGACTGCGTTTCTCCCGTCGAAGCGAGCGATCGCTCGCTGCCGCGTGAACGTCGGCGAGATAAACGCCGGAGCGCAAACGCGCGAAACGCTAATCTGTCGTCGCGGATTCTCGACGAGACTTCTCGCCGCGCGGCGCTCGCGCGCGCATTCGCCGCGAATATATAACTCAACTGGTCATTGTCACGATATATCGGGCCGAGCGGAAGTTTATCGTCACCGAAGGAAGGGAAATCCCCGCCGTGAGTCGCCGGAGATAAGGCGACGTGTGAATGTTTGTCGCGCGCGCTCTCTCTCTCTCTCTCTCTCTCTCTCTCTCTCTCTCTCTATCGTCCTTCGTTCCGATAGGATGTTTGCACTTCGCTCTCCGTCTCCGCGCCCTGACCGCGTGTGATTTTTACTCCTTCGTTATCCTAAGCCACACATTTGTCTTGCGCGTCCGCGTGGAAACTCTCAAATTCTTCGCTCTATCGTCGGATAGTGGTACTCACTTCTCGCGACGCGATACGGCTTCCTCGGCTTCGATCAGACCGACGAGTCGACGACTGCCGGGACCGGCTGGCTCGGCTCGCTCCGCCGGGACTTTCCGCTGCAGCAGCCTCGCATAAACCGACGCAACCTCCCGAGTCCTTCGGCTCGCTCCTCAACACCTGTTCGCCTGCCTGAAACACAAATGGCGGAGCGCGCGTTTTATTAACTTCGCCTCGCTTCAGCCAGCGCTTCCGCGCCGCGGAGTGCGCCGATTAGCGCGCGCGATCACGGCCGCGGCGCAATGTGCGCTATATATCCACGGACGATGACACAGAGAGAAGGACAGAGATGGCGGGGGGGGGGGAGAGGTTGAGAGAAGCAGTACGTTAGATCGTGCGGGATAGATTCGCGGCGCGCGCGATGATAGAAACGTCGATACGCGAGCGCGAGGGACACTCGATTTCGCATTCCTTCCGCCAACGTGGCGCATTAAAAAGCACGCCGCTTTAAGACCGTATCACACTAGCGAGTTGCGATTGCGATTCTTCCTCGACCAATCAGAAAGCCGTCCAAACGACAGTCGTGAGTCACAGCCGCGAGTCGCTTCTTTCCAATTGCTCGAGAAAGAATCGCAATCGCAGCCGCAGTCGCGAGTCGCTAGTGTGATACGGCCTTTAAAACGGCTGCGATTCGCGGCGCGCGCGCCAATCAATTTCCGATGAGGCGGATAGACGCGCGCGCGAGGAAAATGCGCGCCTTCCGCCGCGCCGGTCACGTCACGTTTCCGTCGCGCGCGCGCGCGAGTAAACCGCGGGCGGGATCGTTTTCGCACGTCCACACCGCCCGCGTTGTGTCGCAGCGAAGTGTGAACTCGGCGAAATTATACCGCCCCATCAACCCTCGCGAGTCGCGAGTCAACCGGCCTGTTGGTTCCTCCTTCCTTCTCCTCTTCTCCCTTCTCGAGCTCTGCCGGCGCGGCCGGCTCTCTCTCTCTCTCTCTCTCTCTCTCTCTCTCTCTCTCTCTCTCTCTCTCTCTCTCTCTCTCTCTCTTTCTCTCTCGAGCGCCGTCAATTCTCGCTTCCGCGCGGAAACTACTAATCGCCGCCGTATTATATCATATTGTAAACGCACATGATGTCCGACACATGTGCCGAGGCAATTTTCACCCGCTCGGCCAGGTGATTCCCCAGGTGAGAATCGCGTGCGTTTTATTAGATCCCGTCCCGCTCGCGCTGGCCGCGTTTACGGCGCGCGAATTCCCCCGCGAGTTTCAAAGCGATCCGGCCGCCCGGACGCCGTCCGCGACATAAGAAATTCAAGAGCTCCATCGGGGTCGACGCGACCCCGGATAGATCCTCTCTGCCGCGTCAACACTCGCCGATTACGCGCCGATAACGTGTGGCGCGCGTTGGATAGCGACGCGACGCCGGCAATTACCGCTAAATCGATTTCTGTCCGCGCGGCAGCTCGTCGATCGCCGCGCGCTGTACGTGCGGCCTGCCTGTCTCTCTCTCTCTCTCTCTCTCTCTCCTCTTCTCCTTCCTTTTTTTCTTCTACTCCTTTTCTTTCCTTTTTCCTTCTTGTCGAGCGGAAAGATTCGCGCACGCGCGCGCGCGCGCGCGCGCGAATAATACGAACGGAGAAACTATCCGGTCGCGAGAGAATAACGACCGGGGCTTTCACTGACGCGTTCTCCACGGGAATTTTCGATAGCTCCTTTTGCCTCCTGTCGACCCGAGCAACTTTCACGGGCAGGACGAAAATAAATCCTCCACTCGCGCGCCGAAGCGTCGGCGTCGCCGTGTCGCGCGCCCTTAATCCCCTTAGCAAGCGCGCCCGGGGGCTCGATTGTTACAATCTCAAGGAATTAACCGTCCATCGCGGGAAGACGTGTACTAATATTTTCGAGGAGGATGAACCTCGCGCGAGAGTAGGGAAGGAAGAGAAGTGACTAATCGCCCCGCCGGCGAGCGGGAAGAGCCTCTCGTCGCTTTTTCGAAAACCGCGAACCTCCTCTCACCGACCGGCCGGGACGCGCACGAACACACACCATTGACTTTCGTCCGGTGACTCATCCGCCTCTTTCCCAGGGCCGAGGATACGTCGGGGACGATTTTGGATAGGATCTCAAGGTCGACACACGGCAATTCCACCCTGTCGTCGGCGGCGTGAAAAAAAGGCTGCGGCGAGGGGAGAAAAGCGGGGGAGGGGAGGGGGGAGGCAGAAACGAGGCCGGTCACGACGTTCGATGGGCGTCGAGATAACGACCGCCCATATCATGGTCGCGCGCGCTGTCCCGGCTTCGAGGATAAATAGAAAGAACGCCCGAAGACTATCAATTTTTAAGTATCGTTCACACGCGGATTAGTGCGGTCGCGCGCTGCAGCGGACAGATATCGCAACCTACAGACTACGCCGTGTGCGTGTCCGCAGCTCTCGGGTTTACTGCGATTCCAATCTACCGTAATTCGATCCTCGCGTTGACCATTCGCGTAGATCCAAGTGCCTGCGGATGCGTGTGCGTGTGTACGCACACGAACGAGACGCGTTGCGAAAGCCGCGAGTCTTCTTCTTCTTCTTCTCCTCTTTTACCTCGGGGAGGGGAGGGGCAAAACGCAGCAGCCGCGCGGCACAATGCTACAAGCTCGCGTCGCGACCTGCCGACGTGCAACTAAGCCCCGTGTGAACGGCACTTAAGTCCGCTTCTGGCCGTATCGATTAGCATAAGCATCGGGAGTGACACGACGCGCCCGGGATACCGGCCGGTGTTGTATCGACAGCGCCCGTCGTCGTCCTCCCGGTCGTCCTCGTCCTCGTCGTCGTCGCTGTCGCCGCTGGTATCGTAATTGAAACATTTACAGCGGCGAACGGTGTAACCGATAACGGAAAGGGATTAGGACTAATTCGCGGTGACTTGATTCCGCAAATCCGCCTACTTGGCGCAGTCATACGCCCGAGAGCGTCCATTGGCCGAGTGCATCCATTTACCCGCGGCATCCTGTTGCGTGTTGCGCAACACGTACAACGTACAACCGTATGTTTACACCGTTTTTTCAATAGTTTATTCGGGGGTATTCGGAGGTGCGTGCGTGCGTGCGTCGTTGCGCGAAACGATGAAAATCCAAAAATACAAAGGAGGCAACAATGAACGATTGTTCCCGTGAATTAATTGCGCCGAGAAAGGTATTCCGTAATCGAATGTACATATTTCGCCCCGCCCTCCCCGCAAGTAACGAGGTATTTTACGAAGCATTAACTGCAAATGACACGTTGTTTCAATTCCATTACGGAAAAACGAGGAAAAAACAATACGCGCAAAATATGTTCCTTTCCAGCACTCGTCTGGAAAAGAGAGGAAAAGGGAGGTTGCGGCGGTGGCGGCGGGGGGGAGGAGGGGACGGAGGGGAGAAACCGGTCGCTTCGCGTTTACCGTGTCATTCGTATAATTTTCTACGGTATTTTGAAACGCGTGCATCCTTCCGCAAAAAGGAGAGAAAAAGAAAGGGTAGGTAGACGCGCGGGCAAAAGGACCAATGGAGATGTGTGTGTGTGTGTGTGTGTGTTCCGAAAATTAAATCCGCAGCGAGAGAAAAAATGTGGTCACTTTACATTTACATGCGCGCGTAATTTCGTCCCCGGCCGGGAAAACAGCGGCGACGTCGATCAACACTGACGGAGAATCGCCGGAATGTTAATTCGCCGAGAGCGCGCGAATGCAATGAACGCCGCGCGTTATTGAGCGACGAGACCGTCGCGATAATTCGTCGATTACGGCCCGACGTTTGTCGCCGGCGACGGCGAAACGGGAATGCGGGTGTGTGCGCGCGCGCGTATGTCTGTGTGTGTGTGTGTGTGTGTGTGCGTGCTCGTAAAGGAGAGACGAACGACTTTAAAGAGACGACGAGAGCGCGACGACGCTCTCGGCTCGCAGGCAAAAGTCGTAAAAATATAATTGCCGCGTGAGACTATGGGGAGAAAGAGAGAGAGAGAGAGAGAGCGAGAGAAAGAGAAAGAGAGAGAGAGAGGGAAAGAATATACATGTCCTCGTGTGTGACGCAGCGCGGAATTAAGACGCGACTCCTCCGGTTTTTCACACAGATATACAGCCGTTACGGCGCGGCACAAACGGCGGTCGTTCCACACGAACGGAGATCGGTACTTGCCGCGAGTCAGTCGAATCTAATGCCCTGGCGATACGTGTATAATCTCTCCCCCGTTTACTTTCTCCGGATAATGATAATAATATCGACGATAACAACGCGAAAACGCTCGTTAACGACACGAGCGCGCGGGGTCGTGGGAAAGTGATTTCACGGCGCGACACCGTCTCGTCCCGCAACCTCGACGTGCGCTTCCTCTATCTTCGGACAACAGAGAGAGAGAGAGAGAGAGAGAGAGAGAGATTCTCCCCCTCACGGAAATTTCGATAGGTTAGCCGTGACGTCATCGATACGCCGCGTCGTCGTCTTAATGAACGGCGGTTGTTTTCCGGCTGGCCGGCCGGCGGATGCATCGGACATTTTTGCGGCGACGACTCTGCCGTCTGCGGACGGAGGGGGCGTCAGATATCCTAGGCTTTCTTGTACAAATGCAAGGAACAAGGCGCGCACGCGGCCCCTCGTCCGCTATCCTAGATTCCTCGGTACTTTCTATTGTGTTTACGGATCGCGTCAGAGTACCTTTCGCCGCTGAGAAAATGCCTCGCTCCTTCTCGATGTCGGCTCAGCCGCGGCGGCAGCAGCATCATCCTCGCTGTGCGACCTCACTGCTTTTTTCCTATCTCTTGCTCTCTCTCTCTCTCTCTCTCTCTCTCTCTCTCTCTCTCTCTCTCTCTCTCTCTTTGTCTATCTCTCCCCCTCGCTCCCTCATCCCCTTCCCCACGTAGCCTTCCCTGCGTAACAAAACCGATTTCCCTATCGATACGCGCTGTCGCGCCGCCGATCGATATTAATTACATCGCGCCGCTATCAATCGTCGCTGACAGCTATTTTCAATCCGTGTCGATGATTCAGTCCTCTTCCGCGGAAAGATCTTTTCCCGGAGATATTAACATTCGTTTTCAATAGAAAAAAGAAAAAAAAATATCAGTTCGTCCGGCTGGGATACGCTATATTCAGCGGCCTGAAGACGATATCTGTTCGGACAGATGTATTCCCCTTCCACTGCGCGCAGGCATCCTGTCTTCGTCTAG